AATCTGTATATTTTATATAACATAGCAGAATTTTATATTTTTTCAACCAGGTAATAAATTTTCAGTTGCTTAAATGTACTTTCAATGAAAAATTGTTTTGTTTAGAAACACAACTTCAGTCATCAACAAGTACATTCACCTGCACAGACCACAGAGTAATGTTTGTAATGATTTTCTAGAGACACATAATACATAATCAACCGACTCAAAGAGAACTTGAAGAAAAGCCTGTGTATTATTTACTCAAATCATTGAAACTTTGACGAGGTAGACTAGCCCTGATGGGTTACTGAATCTCTTCTCTTATACGGCTCTTGTCAATATGATTTCTGCAGTACCATCGAACAGAGAATAAAAAAATAATAATGGTCATTAATTTGTTTGTTTACATCTTCTTTTCAAGCACAGGTTCCCCTCTGACTTACAGATTTCAGAGAACTAGCTGAAAGTTTTAAGTGACTTAATATTGAACAATACTTCAAGTAAGCTTACCGGTTTCAGAGAGCAGCTTGGTAGCTTCCAGTACCTTCTCAGTATAAACTCCAGTTTCATAGTTTTCCATCTCTGCATTAATGATGTGAATAACTCTGGCTGCACGCCCTCGGATGGCACCCGCGGTTCTGTCCAGTGTATCGACGTCCCCCTCTTGGAGAGCAATCACACACTTATTCACATCTTCCAGAATATGGTTTTCTGGAATGTAGGAAAAAAATAAGGTTCATTTCGTTTTGTTCTTCCTCATAGCTAAGCTTACTGATTTGGATAAACAACAAATGTCAGCACGTTAAAAAATTGGTAGCTGTCCTTATCCAGGTCTGCAAAACAAGTACCATTCTGTGATACTATGCCACATAACAGTAAAAATCCCAAGTGCGATATTTATCTTTAAAAGGGACTGGGCTATGTCCTCTCACCTATACTGCGAGTACCAACTTGTAATTCTTTGAAACACAGTCACATTAATTTCAAACATCACGCTGAATTTTATTATAATGAAAGTGTAATAAAAATCAATGCAAAAAGGAAAGCGGTCAGATATTATGCAGATGCTGTAATAAACAGTTGGGCAATTTTCTGAGGATGAATTTACATATTCCTATAAACGTTTAATATATTTGGTCCATTTGTGCCTAAATAAGTTAGAAAAGAAAATAAACCATTTTGAAAAGACAACAGCAAATGGCCTTTGGAGAGGCAGGAGCCTGTGCACGAGCAGTTCATCTCCTTTACTCCATCTGTGCCAGAGATGAAGGTGTGAATTTTTCATGACACACAGTATAATCATATGTGACTGTGCATATTCTTAAATAAGAGTCGACAACAGTGAGTCTGCTCAGATGATGTAATATCAAGTAGGTTTATAGAAATCTTGGGAGCTGCATTGTTTTTTCTCAACTCAGAATCAGGCCACCTACTTTCACATGCTGCGGTATCATAGTTTATGTGGTATTCTCACATACAGATAATATGAAAGGATGAAGCAGATTTTGACAAGGATGAAACAGATTTTGACTAAGTCAGACATTATTTCCCTGCAGCCAGTACAGTTAAAAATCATTTCAAGAATAAAACTATGACCAAATTTCATATTTGAGCAATTTCACTCTGAGAAACTCAGCGACTCTAAACAGCAACTTACTTTTCTGCCACAGACACCACCAAACTGAAAATGAAATGCTGTTCTTTGTAGTGTTAATAAATAAAACAGAATCAATCAGTTCACCAACTGCTTTTTGTTAATTATCCTTGGCCGCAAAAATAGAATGACATACTAATCTTCACTGTTAAAAATCCCAAGGCTGGATCATTTGAGGGTTTCAGAAATGTTTTACATGATGTCGAATTTTAAACTCTTAACAACTCTGAATGAAAACTGAAAGTCCCCTGAGCTGTGAATCACAGTAACGTGCAAGGCAAAACTCTTTGTTTAAAAAACTCTCTATCCACATTTAAAAAATGTTGCTTTGCTAAAAAATTCCTTCACTATTTTCCCCCACCATCACCATTTTCTTTACCATGGCATAGCCAAATTTTGCCCAACAAGAAGTACTTTTTGAATATGAACAGACACTGTGTTTGGAATATAAAGTAACTGATTAAAATTATGGTCAGCCTTCTTTTGGTAACCACTGTATTAATAAAACATGCCATCAACTGTGACACTCAATATGAAGAGGAGGAGGTGTCTTTTCATGAAGCACGTTTAACCAGACACCAGCCCATTTTGAATGCTTCATTGATTTAACATCCAAAAATAAAAGTATGCAGTGTAAGCTGAGGCCTCCAAACTTACAGCTAGCAGCAACAGGCTTTCTGGATACATGAGATGTTTTCTCATTTTTAATAGATAGAGATGTCTGTTAGGAAAAAATCTAAACCTAACAGAAATACTACTTCTCAGCTGCCTTGGGAAGTTTGGATCGTAGTCAAGACTATGTTAGAAGAAAATATGATTTGAGAAAAACAAAAAATAAAAACATCATCCGTTCAAATAACTTCTGGTTTTATGCATACAAGTGCTTGGAGTGAACATTTAAGCATGTTTGCCATCTCTTTGGCTTGTGGATTGGGTCTGCAGTTTACAGTTTGATCTGCTCTTTCCTTGTAGAACTAGGTCTGTGGAAAAGTGCTTGCCACCTTCAAATCTTGAATAAAAATCTAAGTGCTACCAGATTCTGAAGTACCCTTTTATTCTAACAGTTCATTTTCATTTTCTTGTCGTGGCTTGCAGTAAACACTCTAGCAGTGATGTTGAACAGTAGAGTGTAATTATACTAAACCAAACTATTCCCTGTTACTAATAATAGCGGGATAAAACCAAACAAAATAAAGGGGAGGGCAAAAAAGAAAATTAAGGATTTTTTTAAAGGATAAATATTTTTTTTCTCCAAAGATCTTAAACTTTTATTAGTAAATTTAGGAAACATCAAAGAAAAGAATGTAGAATGAAGCATAAAATTAAGGCCAAGCTATCTCCTGAAGTTTGGCTCTTCTGTGATGTTAGAGTAAGCTAAGCACCCTTGGCACACTCTATGTCCTTATTCACAACAATGAAATTCACCTCTTTCAAACCACAATAGGAAAATAAGTTTTCTGCAGCAGACAATTAACCCAAGATATGCAGCACTTGGCAATTATAGTATTCATTGTGTAGGACTATATTATAACAATACACTCTGCTACAAGTTGTAGCACTTTACAAGGAGGATGGAGAAAAGACTGTGACCCAAAGAGTCAATGTCCTTCTCTTCTCCATCCCTTCTTTATGTAAGGACTAAGATACTTTGTTTTTGTAGAGGAGCTTGCTTTGCATTGTAATCCTTCCTCGCAAGGTCAGAGAGGTGCAAAGGTTTGCTATTTCTTATGCTACTTTACTTCTTCCCTCCATTTGGTTGCATTGCTATGCCGATAACTCTGGGACCCAGAAGTGCTTCCCAGCTCTCTGGAAATGTACATACTGGTCATGTCCTGACAACGTAGCTAGATGGGAATCATATGGAACATCTGCCTATTTCTCTTCTTTCTATCCCTCTTCAGGGCCTGCTTACCTAGTGCGGATGATCAGGGGGCCAGGACTGTATGGTAGATCTGCACCACTGTTTAGACACAGCTGATCTGAGCAAAGCTACAAAATAAAGTAAGGAAAGTTCATCTTTCCTCCTCTTGCCTACAACTGCATGAGGACCCTAACAATTTTTACAAATACTGTCAGTCTGTCACAGGTTGCTCCTACTGACTTTAGAAGATCAGCATTCCAATAAGGACAGACTAATGGACTAATGATGCTTTGGCAATTATAGCTTTTCTCTGCTCTGACCCATTATTTCAATTCAGCAGTATATTTTTAGAAGAGTCCCTTGATCCCCGAACCTGAAACGGAGAGGAAATCGTCCACCGAAGTGATGTCATCAACAGCTTCAGTGAGAACTCGCACTTGTTTTTCCCACTGATCTTTGAAGACGTCCATGTTGTCCTGTGCTACTTTGCTCTGGGGTCTGGCAGCCAATGTGAGCGCAGCATTTATGACCTGTTATTCAAAATTATTTGTTACGAGGAGTGGCAAAATTTTTTCACAAGGGAAAGAACAAATAGATTACGGACTGTGTTAAAAATACAGCATTACACCCCATTCGATATGCAGGTCTCAAGACAGGAATGTATTTTTCACTGTTCGTGAAAAGCAGGTAACAGTATAATGACAAAGGCAAGGCTATAATCTTCATCTAGGCTGTTTTCCCCATCTGAGGAAACTGATGTTTTTTAATGCCAAAAGAGTTCTCAAGTACTTTTTAACAGGAATCTTACTTACCTGTGGGCACAGACTATCAATCTGTGTTGCTGCCATACGGACTAACTTCACACCTTCTTCATTATTCGAGATTGAACAGGCCAGATTTGCAACCTGCAATTAAATCAGCAGAATGAGAATCAAGTTTTAGGCAAGCGGGACATTTTATACTTTTCTCTCTTCTTATTGAGCCTTGCCTAGAATGAAAGAATTGTATACAAGAGGAAGGATACAGCATCTTCTGTGCTGGTGAACAGAAACCCATGCAGATTATTTCCAAACTAGCCATCTTCATTAGATTTTTCTCAAAATCTTCCCTCACTGTCAAGTGTTTCACATTATCCTCTACAGCTTGAAAATAGCCTCCTGAGAAGTCATATAGAGAATGTAGAGCATCCAGGCAATCTGTACATTTTCTTTCCTCACAGTTTCTTTTTCCTTTTATTAACCATGTCCATGATGAATAATAGTAATCAGGCTCATCCATACTCAGAGCTTTGCAAAATGAAGAATCTTTGATGTCCTAACAGATGGAATTGTGCTTTTCCACCCATAAAAAAACCTCTGATACCTTAACTGATACTGGGAAGTTACATATTTCTCAAGTATCTTCATTGTTTCAGATCCTGACGGTTTTATGTATGTTAAAATCGTTATAATTCTCAGGTGGACCTCTTTATTTCTACGTGATTGTCTGCCCTAGAGTAAAATGTCCATTAGTAAGAGTTTCATAACTTGGTCATGTGAAATGTCTCTGCTGCAAGTCCCATTCTGTAACGTATACCTGAAGATCTCCTTCAAAGATGTAGGTATCTTGCTCTGGCACAGCTTTGGGAAGTCTGAACCTCATAAGACTGAAGGCTGTTTGGATAAGATGAAGATGAGGAGACTTAGAGAGACACCTGAATGAAATCTAGCAATCAGACCATGCCTCCAGACACTGCAGAGCTGCCTCTCTGTGGTTTGGATGCAAGTGGCAGAGCATGTTCTCCCAGCTCATACAGCGCTTCTTGCAAAAAATCCATTCCCAAAAGCTTTGTGCCAAGTCCATGAATGTGCCATGGGTTTTCCAAACAGCAATTCATGTCACAGTGCACATAATTAAGCTCATCAGTGATATTTAAATCGCAAAGGTACATTCTGGGAGCGGGGAACACAAGGTATTTCTTTTAATCATCCAAAAGTATGGCTCTTAATTCCAATCTACATTAAAACAAACTTATACAATTTTAAATATGCTTCCTTGATATTATTCAGTGTGCCTGAAGGCATAACTATCAGTTGGAAATGATTCATTAATTAGTTCAAATACCCCCATCTTTCCAATTTTCCTCCAGTCTCCCCTTGTGGTATTAATCTGCTCTCGTCTCCAGTGCACATCGCCACGTTAGCCCTGGTCCATCTGTTCTGCATAGAACCTATTTCACTTCACAGTTATGTAGAACGTGGTTTGCATATATCACAGTGACAAATCCCAGGGAAGGAAAGAACCTAAGGCTTCAAAGAGTCTTTTAGGCATTTCCTAGTCAAGATTTTATCATAATGTTGTGATTTTTGTTTTCATTTCATGGTGAGACAAATGAGTTAGTCTGTTTGTTAACAGCCTTACAGCGCTCATGTCAAAAACGTTCTCCTAAACTGACATCTTCCAATTAATTTACCATTTTCTGTAGTCACTTCTTTGCACACATCAAAGAGACCTCTTTAATCTTCATGAGAAACAAAAGCTAAGCAGGATAATAATTAGAATGCAGTAACATGAGTGGAAATTACAGACCTTAAAAACTAGCAAATGGTATTAAGTTCAGCAAAAGCTATCTGCTGTATTTTAAATCAGTGTTTTTTCATATTGCCCTTCATTTTGTGATTATCATGATGAAAATCTGTCCTAAGGCTCCAGATGCACCATATATCTTACTTTTTCTCAGATAGCAGTGAGATATGTGACTGAAAGGGGCTGGGTGTCATGAAATGGTGATTTAACTGCTAAGCAGGCCTTTGAGTTCTCTTGGAAGAGATCTTTGCAGGAAAAAAACAGTGAAAATAAAACTTATTTCTTCTTGGTGTCTGTTAATTACTCTTTCAATAGAATCTGATGAGATATTTGGATATTGTAAAGTGTCCTAGTTTTCCAAGGAAGGATACAGAGATAACCAGAGAAAACTTTTTCCTCCTTTTTTGTAAAAGAATTTAGAGTTTTGGATGTTACTATCAATACAGAAGGAGTACAAATGTAATCTATGGCTACATTAAATATGCATCAAAAGAGCATTACAGTTATCTGTTTAAAAAAAATAATGATACATATCATGTATAATACTAATCTAAATAGTTTCTGTGGTATATTTCAAGTCTTGCATAAATATAGACCTGGATCATCAGCAGTCAGAAAGCAATACTGCTTTCACAATTCAGCAAAGAGTACACCACCCTGTACCATGGGAAGATCTGATTGTGTCAAATAAGCATAGAGATAAGCAAATCCTACAAAGGTAGATGCAATCTGGATAAAATTGAATTTAGCACTACAAATCAGAAATACTATGACTTTACCCGAAACTTATTTTTAAAACGTGGTAAGAAATAGACATTACTTGCAAAAGCCTGCATTTCAATGCTGTCCTGTAAGCATGGATCTGTGAAACAGTACAAGTTTTAAGTGCACTCAATCACCAGATACGACACTATTTAATTATTTTGATTCACTTTGTTATCAAATACACAATCAAGTTACCATCAATTAAGATTCTTGGCACAGCAAGGTCCATATACATGTTCTTAGTCAATAGAAACCGTGAGGTAATTCAACATGCTTTAGCCTACTATAAATTTAGCAACTTCAGATATTTTTCCTACCTAAAACTATAACCACAAAAGCATAGACCCAATTCCACTCCACTTAGCTGAGACACTTTGGTTATGTGCCAAACTGATCTCTTTGGATAATGGATAAAAAGAGAAAGGCACTTCCAGAGACTGTTTCAGGTCTTTGGTTGACCATCTCATCCTCTAGATGTATCTAGTTTGTTATTCACACTTAGACTATAGCTAGCCCTGACAATTGTTGAAAAAGGCATTATTGAAATAAAAGAGGTTTTAATGGTGCATTATAACTTGTTTTGTATGTGCATATATAATACAACATGTATTGTGAAGAACCCAGGCTCTTCAAGGTTGGGAATTCGTTTAATATGCCACTCCTTAGTTGGATGGAGCAGATAGCTTGGAAAGGAAAATAAAAACTCTGTATGTTATTGTAGCTGCCAATTTGCCAAAACTTTGATTTGACAGCCTTCACCTTTACGCTTCAAGTGCTCTGTCTCCACCAAAGCATTGAAGAGGAGATTTCATGAGAGGCTGTGGAAGTAACCAGGTAATTAATTTTTCTTTTTTTTTTTTTTTGGTTTTCTGTTTACTAAGTTCCTTGAGCATACTGAATTCACTGATCGACTAAACAGAATTTAAGTTTGTATTAAGATCAATGTGAACTGTCTGAAGAGTATTTATATGAATGAATACATTTTAAATACCAAAATCAATAAAGTGTGAATCATCCTCAAAATGCGTGGGGAACTTAATAACAACGAAACTGCTGTGTAGATAAACATTATCGTCCAGAATTTCAGGTCTGCTAAGCTACTCTTATACCACCAAAAAACAATTGCTGAACACCTTAAACCTGTCCTGCAAGAGCATGGAAAAGTAATGAGCAAGAAAATAAACACTCCAGCTCTAGTGATGCTGTATTTTTCTGCAATCACCAAAGCCACTGAACCAGTCCTAGAACTGGGGAGGTGAAAAAGTGCATACTAACTCTTTCATATTAATTTCCTGTCACTGGCACTGATAGCCCAAGATGCAATTCTGCAGCTTGCTAGGTATCTGTCTTTAATCATGCAAATAGTTCCATTAGTTTCAGTTATTCAAAATATATGCAGGGTGAGTCCCAATAAATGTATTTGCATGTATTTGGTAGCATTTCAGCCTCAAGCAGTTTTCTGCTGTAGAGCAGATGTAGGGAAGGATTTTGTTTCTAATGCAAATTTTTATTACCGTTGTTGAAAGGACATACCAAGGCCAGGATTTGTTCTAAAGATATACTTATACGGCAGCTGGACATGTAAGTACTGTATGGATAGGCAATGCATACACTAGTTTTTCGCTAGCTAGCAACTGAAGCGTGGCTTAGCATTTTTTTGTTGCTTTTGCCACGCATACTACCTAGGGCAGAAAAACTTTATTTCTGCCTTGAAATGGCACTCCAAGTTACAAAAGTAATCAAGGATCTTTATACCAATTTACTTTATTTTTACACTGATGAAAATCAGGTGTAGTTACCTTTCATTGTGTTTTTAAACTAGACTATTTCCAATTTTGACCTGAGATCTTTGTATTATTAAAGGTAATTATGACAATCAAAATGTATTGTCCTTTGGTTCAAACTTAAATTCAAAGATTTAACATGGCCATTCTGAATTTAATGTACGTGAAAAGGTCCAAAAAAGAAATCCATCACTTAGAGTAAAAATGTAAAAAAGGGAGCAGTATACGCTATAGCAAAGGAGCAATATTAACACAAAGGCTGCAGAATATTGCAGCTAATATATGTATTCTCTTTTTTAATTTTTTCTTTTATTCTTTTTTCCACCATAGATTGGTCAGAAGAAATGATACAAAAAAAGCTCTATTCAGCTTCCCCAACCATTTAACCATCCTAAGATAGAGAATGCAATCTATATCTTAGTTTTGTGTATTCTTTGTAAATAAGGTTTTTTTTACTTTTTATACATGTCTTTCATATTTATGTCATTTATTTTTTCACTGTAATTAACTGATGAAAATACTAGGAAGAAGAAAATTTACAGCAAGTTATTCTTTTTTTAGGGAAACACAGAATAATTTAAAAAACCCAAGGCACGGTCAAACTTATGTGTCTACACCACACATTTGAGAAACTGAAACTTTCTGAGTTATTCAGCTTAAGTTGAAGGTGTTTTAAGTAAGAGTCTTCTATAACATTCACAGTGGACTAAAGCCAAGCAAATAATCAGTTACTGTGTTTCAGCTGATGAGTGGTAACTTGCTGAACTGCGGTATCTTGACTATTTGTAATT